AAGAGTTCTCAAAATGTCCTGTAACTGGTGAATCACCTGTCCTCTTGTTCAGGGAGGCCATGGAGACCCTATGAGGTGGACTTGAACCAGTGTCCAGTCTACAAAGAAGAGGGCCAACTCAGAGGAAACATCTCATTCATGCTTCCAAGTGAAGCCTTTGACTTATCTTCACATAGATGGAACTGATAAAAGAAAGGAGCCAGGAGCTCCTCCCATGCCCATGTAACCCCTGAGGGACAGATCTTCAAATGACCTTAAGTGTAAAAATAAATTGATTTATTTGGGCCAACTGTATGGTCTTAAATACCCAAAGTATAACCGAAGAATAAAGTCATCAGTATATTTCTTTAAGAGTTCAAGGGATTAATAAATTGATTTATTTGGGCCAACTGTATGGTCTTAAATACCCAAAGTATAACCGAAGAGTAAAGTCATCAGTATATTTCTTTAAGAGTTCAAGGGATTACACTTCCCAGACATTAGACTTAAGTGTATATAAATAGGACTTCCCAAACATTAGACTTAAGTGTATATAAATAGTTATTTTGACAATTTTTTCTCATTGATGATTTTGTTCCTAACTAGAAAGTGCTGCTCAAATGTAAGACTTCAAATCTTGGTCTCCAATACTGTAGTACCCATCTGTAGCTAAGGGAGACAACCAGCTATTGCTCTAAAATGATGGACAAATTTGTTTTTTCCCCCTATCTAGAAGCCTTTGAGAGGGAACTGACACTGATTCTAACCACTCCAACAGCTATCAAAATACCTGAAAGCAAATCCTGAATACGTCACTGTAGAGTCCAGCCTTGGAAGACAAAAGAAAAATGAGGAGGAACCCAATAGAGGGATGCTTTTGGAAGCGGAAGCCCTTGTCAAGAAATTCCCATGTACTCTCATATGAACATTTGAAAATTACCCTGTTCTGTTTTCTGGTTCCCTGTCTAGAACTTGTAATGCTAGTTACTCTTGCCTTTACTTCTTCACATCTCCTATTCACAATTCAAAGACTTTCTTTTCCTCCTTGAGATAAGAGTTACAGGGGTCTTTTAGATAGACCTACTGAAGGGGTACTCCAGTTGCCTCACCCTGCGTCTCTGTTCAGCATGGAAGAAGCCAGAGCAGTCTGCGTCCCGATTCCCTATTGGTAATTTGGGTAACTCTTCAGAGGATGGTGTGATAAGAAAGGAGATAGGAATTGGCTAGGCAGTTAGGGTAAAAAGACCCCAAAGAAAAGTAGCCAGTTTCTTGGCTAAAACTCACAATGTCCTTGGGCCTCTTAGCAACCTACTCTGTTCCAAAGGCCAAAAATGTTGAAAATATTTGGGAGCTTTTATCTAATCCTTAAAAGACTTTAGGGTTACCTCTTCAGAAGGGGGAATATTAGAGTAGCAAAAAACCCCATTAAAATAATTAAAGAAGAAGAAAGCGTTCATGAAGTTATCAGAAAAAAGTGATGGGGAGATATGGGAGGAGTTAGAGGGGAGGGAGTGGGCATGGATTTGATCAAAACACATTATATACATGTATGAAATTCTCAATAAATTATTTATTTAAAAAAGAAAAGAAAGGTTCATGTAATTGCTACCACTTTGGAACATAATATTTGGGGGAAACATAAATCTGTGTTCTTGGGCCATGGTCACTTGTATTTGGTTCCAGTATAAATCCATCTCTTTCATTCCTTTGAGGTGAGTGCTGTTTCTTTTGTCAGCCTTGGTAAGATCAATTGTTTCTTCATTCATGGCACCTCAACTGAACCTACACTAAGAGCAGTTGGTGGCTGTACAATGTGCTGCTTGTGAATTACTGAATCTCAAGCTTGCCAATTCTGGATAGCTAGCTAGTTAACCATCTTGCCCTAAGCACCCACTCTGTCTGTGCCTCCTAAGTGCTGGGGTAACAGGCTGCTGTCACCCCTGCTTCACTTTTACATAGGTTCTGGGGATCTGATCTCTTGTCCTCACAGCTGTGGGTCAGGCATATTATCCACTGAGCCATCTCCCAAGCCCATGTGTGCATGGGGCGGGGGAGGGGGGGGGCAGTGAGTGTATATGTGTTGCATAGGACTGTTCTCTATAGATGATGGACAGATGCCATCTTCCCAAGCCTGGCTGCACCCACTCACTTAGGCTTATCACAGCTAACCTTGTTGACTGTTACACTCCACAAGGAAGGAGGAGCAGGCAGAAACAGCCACACCACCCAACTAAGTAGTCCACCCTAGTTGCACATGGTTTGGGGGCAGGGCTAAGGGTATATAGACTGACGAGGGAGAGCTCTCTCTTACCATTTTATGTGACTGTGGGGAAGCCACCCATCCATGCCTGGATGAAGATTTTCTAGTGCAGTCTGGAAGGGAGGTGGGGAGTACCCATATTCTTGTAAATAACCCTCACCCATTGCTATGTAAGTAAACCCAATAGACTCACTGGTTTCCCAGACTGCAATTTGGTGAAATCATTCATTGGGACCAAGGGAAGAGGGGGTGGATGTTGTTTACAACCCTCCAGAAGGAATTTTAGCTACAGTGTATTCACACATTTGTATGACTGCAGGTACACACATGACACAGTGTATGTGGGGGAGGTAAGAGGAAACCTTGGGAATTGGTCCTCAAATTCTACCTTGAGACAGGGTCTCTTTGTTCTTCTCCATCTCCTGCAGGAACCTCAAGATTACAGATGTTACTTTAGGTGTCCAGCTTTTATGTGGGTTTTGGGAACTCAAACTCATGCTTTCAAGCTTTTGCAGAAAGCACTTTTACCCACTGAGCTACCTCCCCAGCCTGCAGACAACAGAGAGTTTCTACTCCAACATCTTCAGGCTAGCAAGAACACAAACAAGACAAGAACTGCAGAGCGTGAAAGACCAGACCCTCTCCAAGACACAATGCAGAGAACAGCAGAGCAAGGGAGAACAGCCAAAATTGAAACACACAGAGAAAGGAGAACAAAGCCTCTAAGAGGCACGGGACAATGTCAAATAAGTCGAGGCCTACAATTTTCCAATATTGACTGACACAAAAATATAGGTCCAAGTAGTTCAGAGAACACCAAACATCCAAACCAGATAAATATCAAGAGACAGGGGCATACCACATTCCAACTATGGAAAATGAAATCAAAGAGAAAAATCTCAAAGGCAGCCAGATAAAAGACAAATTACCTAGAGGAAAGGGTAAGAATTGCAGCAGACTCCTAATCAGAAACCATAAAGACTGCCAGACAGCATATATTGTAGACTCACACAGTCCTTGTTATGTTATAGCTCCTCAGCTCTGCCATTGTACCACAGCAGACTTAGACAAAGTGAACACATAGGCCTAACTTTGCTCTGATAAAATTTAACTGACAAAAGACATGGCAGACCAGATCGGGCCCATGAACTATAGCTTACCAACCCTGGTGTACAGCAAAAGTAATAATGTTTTGTATATCAACAGCACATGTGTGAGAAAGAGGACAGCGGATGGTAGAGAAGGGTTAAAAATACCTTGTGGTTAGGTCTTTATCGTAAGTATTAAGTTCTCCATTAGATTCTACAATAATATCTCAAGGTACATTATTTTGAAGGATATAAACTACATGTATCTGAGCATTCACTAAAACATATAAGATATAAATAATATACCATAAATAATAAAAACTGGAGTTGGGTACAGGTGATTGCTTCTAAGCCTGGTGACCTGAATTCAATCCCAGGGACCCACATGGTGGAAGGAGAGAACCAACTTCCAAAAGTTGTCCTCTTACCTCCATACGTGCTATGCCACACACATGCCAACACACACACACACACACACACACGGACACTAAAATAAATAAAATGAGGCAAACTGAAACCCACAGCGATAACTGCTACAAGCACATAACCGCCAGCAGCTAAGGTTAGAGGATAAGAGAGCAGGCGAGGTGGGATGCGACAGAGCTGATATTTAGTAATCCTGTGACAGAGGGAAATCACACTGGACAATTGTTGCAGACCCACTTGACCCAGTCATCAGGGATAGCATCCCCAGCAAAGGCATGCTGATGTCACCTGTGCAAAGGCACATGGCCTCAGTGCTTTTCTTCCCAATGATACACAGCAACTGTCACTGTGATAGAACAGGCAAAGCCCAAATGAGGCACCTTCTAGCAAAGTCAGTGGTGACCACTTTTTGAAAGCATCAAGGCCATGTAGGGTGAGGAGAACACAAGATGCTGTCACAGACTGAAGGGACCCAGGAGGCACAAGAACCAAACGCCCAGAGGGTTCTGACTAGCTCTTAGCACAGAAAAAGCACATTAGTTGGTGTCCTGCTTCCATTTCTGTTGTTGTGATAAAATACCCTGAAAAAAAACAACTTAGGACTTATTTTAGCTCATAATTCTAGGTTGTAGTCCGTCATTGTGGGGAAGTCAGGTGGCAGGAACTTAATACAGTTCATCACCTCACAGCCGTAATCAAGAGCAGAGAGAAATCGATGTATGCATGCTTGGTGCTCAGCTCACTTTCTCTGCTCTCCTACAGTCCAAGGACCAAACCCAGGGAACTGTACCTCCCACTTTCAGGCTGGGTCTTCCCAAATCAAATAATGTAATCAGAAAATATCCCCATAGACATGCCCTCGGGCCAGCCTGAGCTAGATAATCCCTTGCTGAAACTCCCTTCTCAGGCCATTCTAGATTGTGTCAGTCAATACACAGTATTCCTCCTGAATATTAAATAAATCCTACAGTTTATGAGGAAACAGCCTGGGCATGTTAATATCAAATAGTCAGCACAGACACATGCAAAGGAGCTTAGGAGAATCAGGGGTGCATGAGACAGTCAGGATCTGAGCCTGCAAATGGGGGCTGATCCAGACCCAAAGGAGCATCAGAAGATGGACAGCAGCGATGAGCAGGGACAGCGACGGCAAAGGCGGAGTAGCAAGGTCATGGAACCTTTGCCTGTGGAAAGATCGTACGTTCAGGAGTCACTGTGCCTGCTGTGAACAGCCTGCTGTGTTTGTTAAATGGTTACTATGGGAACACAGGCTGAGACCAACACAAGATGGCTTCAAAGAGCAGACTGAAGCGTCATGTTGTACTCTGAAAACAAGACAACCTTCAAGCCTACAACCAGGAAGCAAGGTATGAGGAAAGTTCTGTTTCTGATTTATGAAAACTTCTCTAACAGTGTATGACAGGCCAGGAGAAATGGCAGTAAAGCTGGGTAGCAGAAACAATGGAAGGGACTTCTAAAAGGGTCTGCCTGGTCACTCACAGCCTTGCACTGTTAGGTTTGGGGGAGAGAGAGGGTAGAAGAGAGCACTGAGCTCAATCGTCCTTCAGGTAAGAGATTAAACAACACAGCAAGCAGTATGGCCAGGGCTCTGAGGGAGAGCTTTAGTCCTTCCAGTTTCTGAGAGAAGGGGAGATCTTACAGCAAGGAAGCAGGCTTAGGTAATATGTGCCCTGTGCTATATATGAGCAAGGCAAGGAGAACAGGGTATATATGATTTAGACTATGTGACAGGGGACGCTCTTCCTCTGGGTAGGAAAGTGGGGCTTGTGTGACTCATGTAACAACTAAGACGGTAGTCAGAATGCCTCAGATTTAAGGGCAGCAGGCAGGGGACTGGGTGTCTTCCTGCTCTGCTCAGAGTCCCCGCTTAGGGTCTGGTCATCTGAAGAACCTGGGTCCTGTAACCCTATCCTGGTGCGCTGATGCACTGATGCTGTGGAGAGCTGATGCAGGTCTAGGTGTTTCCAAGTGTGACAGTGTTTGTCAGAAAGGATGCGCAGCTCACATGGTAACTCCACCCTCACCTTACAGTTTCAGGCTGGGATACTGTATGGAGAGTCCTGACAACCACTGTGATCTGAAAGCCCTTAGTTCTTCCCCTACGTGTCCTTCTTGGGTTTAGTAAAAAAGTGACTGTATCCCTGCCAGGGCCTGGTATAGGGTGTGGTAGCAGATCAATCACATGGGTGAGCTGTTTGGAGAAGCTTCTCACAGCCACCCTTTTCTGATGCAGAAGAGAGACCACAGAAGCCTACTTGCTACTTCAAGCCCCAGAAAAACTGTACTTCCTACCAACTCTTGCTGCAGGCCACCCTCCCCAACCCCAACTATGGGAAGGGAAAGAGAAGAGAGCTGGGAAGAGGGAGGTGCTAAGGATGGATTTTGTGTCCCACAGCTGTCAAGGGCTCTCCTTGGGTCTTAGTTTGGGAATCAATGTTCCTGTCATGACTGCCTTATCCTTCTTACAGGTATTAGTCTCTGGAGGTTGCTGTTAGGCTCCAACTTAGAGAATTCCATAGAGACACATTCACCGTCACTGGCTGCTCCCCACATCTTAATGATATTGCCTCTGCCTTCCCCATGTTAATGCAGTAAAATATTTGAGGGACATACTATATGAGTCAGAATTTTCTAAACATGGATCAGAGTTTATTGTTCCTAAAGGAATTCCTTGAGAAGGCATCGAGGCTGCATCCTCAACACCATATTAAAAAAATAAAAAGAAGAAAAAGAGAGGAGAAGACAGGGAAACCTATCTAAAACTCAGTGGAAACCGATTAACAGAGTGTGGACTCCAAAAGCTTTGATACAGGGCCCAGATTCCCCCAAATTCCTTCACCAGTTGTCCTCCAGTGTATGCTTAAGAAGATAGTGGGAGAAACTTTGACATCTAAAGAACTATTGAGAGTCTGGGCTCAGTGGGTAAGACTGCGTTTGAGTCCCCAGTACCCATGTAAAAAGCTAGTCATGTCCAAGTGAACACCTGTAATCCCAAAGCTGGGGGTGGCGGGAAGTAGATGGAGACGGGAGGATTGCTGGACCGTGCTGGCTGCCAATCTAGCACTAGGTTCAGTGAGAGACTGTCTTGAGGGAGTAAGACAGAGAGTGATAGGGCAGGACAACTGACAGCCTCCTCTGGGCTCTGTTCTGGCACAGAGCACTCAAGTGCATATACATCACACACATATAACACACACACACGGGAATAAAAGAGCCATCAAAGCCTCATTATCCTCTGCCCTCCCTGGCACCGTGTACCTTAGTTGCATGAAGGAAGCCCGTTTTCCCACTCTTGGAGGACATGTTCTGAGGACCCCATTTGTCTTCCATCAACTTCACAGGAAGGTCTGTGCTTGTGAGCTCCTTAGTATCCCAGTGGATTGTCCTTTCTCTTGCTGCCCTGAAGATATTAGCCAGCTAGGTCACCCCTCTGTGGTTCTGGTTAGGATAGGCATGGCTGGCTCCCCAGCTCTTGCTCTTTATGTTCTTTGCTCCCCATCCTCCCTTCCCAGCTCCCCTCTACCTTCCTTTCATGAGCACGCTTAGCTAAGACTGCAGGCAAAGCTCACTGGTGAGTGGCAGGATTATGATGTCATTGCTGGGGCTGTGACATCAGCATCTGGTGGCTTTCAGAAGAGAGATATGGACAACAACTAAACAAGTTCTTAGAGACCAGTTTGGGATTCACCACAGAACCTGGGCAATGCTAGAGGCAAATAGGTCTAGATCCTTCCATGGTCAGAATTCTCACTGGCTTCTGAAATCACAGGCTAGGAGAAAAAACTCTTAATCTAGAAAGTAGTTGGACTTCTCAAATAGAAAATGTTGGGGAGGGAAAATGACTGTTTCCTTTTTAAATTTACTTTAATTTTTAGTTTTACAGACCATGGCCACTTGGTGTTGTCCACTAAAGTTCATATTGAGATTCCTATAATGAATGCTTGATAGAAAAGGGGTTGATTCCAGGAAATTAAAGCTCCATGTGAAGTCTTAGAAATGCCTAAAGCAGAGGGGGCTAGGGAAATGATTCACTCAATAAAGCGCTTACCTCACAAGCATGAGGACCTAAGAACCAACCCCAGAACCCCTCTCCACAAACACACGCAAAAGATATGCAGAGTGGCACAGGTTTATAATCTCAGAATTGGGGAAGTGGATATAGAAGGCAGACTGGGACTCACTAGCCAACCATTCCAGCCAAATTTGTGACACCAAGCCAATGAGAGACCAAGTCTCAAAGGAGGTGGATGGCTTTCCTGAGGATGACACCTGAGGTTGCCTTCTGGCAATTAAAGCAGGAAGGTGGTAAAGAATTATAGAATACAATCACTGAGTTATTGCCCACTTGACTACAAATAGCAGATTTTTAAATGATCATGAAGGTGAAACATAAAATAGAATGGAATTCTTTAAAGGGTGAGAGTGCAGCTGTACAAGTGTCAGAAGTCTGCCATGGTGCTGCTGTGATCAATTTTAGCTTGCTGGGCCTCTGTGGTCTGATCTGCTGTCCTTCCCTCACATTGCCTTTAAGGGTGATCTGACCCTAGGGAGTCCTACTCTGAGTGCTTGTAGAGGAAGAGGTGGCCACAGCTTTCACCCCATGAGGCAAGATGGGGTAAGAGAACTTACTCTAAAGGCTCTGCAGTTCACATTTGCCCACAGGCCAGACCTCAGGCTCTACTTATGGGCTACCCAAGACCCACAGAAAAAGTGGCTGCCAGATCCCCACACTGAACCTGTCCTGGGCCTCAGCCAATTTTGCTTTCCATTATTTTGTTTTCTCCCAAAAAGTCAGATCCAGTGAAAAATAACAACAAAGAAACAGAAACAAAAACCCTCAGATCTTCCCGGGGTCTGCTAGAGTGCGAATCAGCAGAACTGGAGACCTGATGTTCTAGTTGCTTTTCTGTTGCAGTGACAAAACAGTGACCAAAATCAATGTGGGGAAGGAAAGGCTATTGTATTAGTCAGGTTCTCCAAAGAAACAGAACCAGTAGAATGAATATATAAATGTATAGAGATTTATCAGCTTAGCTCACAGGATAGAGTCTGAGTAGTCCAACGATGGCTGCACCACACTGGAGAGGCTAAGAGACCGTAGTCGCTCAGTCCACGAGGCTGGATGTCTCAGTAGTCCCGATCTGGTGCTGAAGGTCTGACGAATTCCAAAAGATCAGCTAGTCTTCAGTCTACAGCAGCAAGACGAACTCACCAGCAAGAGAGAAGGCAAGCAGCAAGAAGCCTGGTGTTCTCCTCTGCCTTGGCCTTTTATACAGGCTGCCATCAGAAGGTAACACCCACATTTAGGGTGTGTCTTCCAGCTTTAGATGATCCAATCAAGAAGATTGCTCTCATTTCAGTTAATCCCAGATCCAGCCAAGTTGACACACAGGATTAGCTATCATAAGTCTACCCCTTGTCAACTTGACACCCAATAGCATCTGTCTATGTCATGCTTAAAATTTTTCAAATGAAAAATTTTTCAAATGAAAACAATGTTGAGGTCATAATTTCACCTAACATGATAT